AAGCCTTCTCTCTTGAGTAATTGTAATCTTTTTATACAACTATTGGTTGTATGTTCCCATATTTCTCAATTGTCTGGAAGTTATCATTTTTTAAGTTTGTTTATTAATTTTGGGGGGCGGGGACGAGAGAGAAAGAGTAGGGGAGGGGCAGAGAGAGGGAGAGAGAGAATCCCAAGCAGGCTCTGCACTGTGGGCACAGAGCTGGACGCGGGGCTTGAACCCAAAAAGTGTGAGATCATGACCTGAGCTGATACCAAGAGTCCGACACTTAACTGACTGAGCCACCCAGGCTCCCCCCCTCCTTTTTTTTTTAAGTGAATTTATTTATTTTGAGACAGATGGAGAGAAAGTTTGTTTGGAAGCTCTTTATGGCAATTCTCATTGTGCAGAATTATTCTAAAATAGTAAATGCTTCTTAATTCCAAAACATAAAAAGAGTGGTTTGATGGCATTTTTGTAAGCATTGGTACATTCTTCAACAAGATGAGTGTGGGAAGGAAAAGTGAGAAGGTGGCTGGTAAGAGGCTCACATCTTGTGAAATGGTGGCACTTGGATGGCCAAGAGGACTTCTACTAAAGGATTCTGGGTGATCCTTTAACACAGCAGGGTCACTCCTCTTCCTGCTGTCTGCCCTCCCACTGACTCCCCTCTGTTCCCCCTAGGAAGTTTCCACTCCCTCCTGCCCACCTACATCCATACTCAAAACCAAGCTGATGTTTTCACGTAGAACGTCTTCCACCTCTAAAATTTCCTTCCAAGTACCACTTTAGAAGTTTGGCTCTTTTCTTCTTCCTCATTTAATAATCATAATTGCGGAGAAATAAAATACAAACCGGAGGTGTAATACATCTCCTACGACCTCACATTTTTAGGGTTATTTTTTCTTGCCAACTGATCCTGCATTCATGCTAATGTCCCCCTTCTTGTATCCTTAAAAGTACTCAGCTGTTTCATCAAAAGCCAAAAGGAAAATAAACTATGTTTCTCAGGCAATGTGAGGTGATAACAAAGGACTCCAGCATTTTGGGAACAGTTTTGGATTAAGGGGAAAGAACCAATTTTAGTTGCCAGCTGTTTCTTCAAGAAAAAAAATGGCTGTGTCTCTATATAAAGAAAGGCAAAATTTTTAATTTGTTTTCAGAATCTGCCTCTAAGAAGTTTCTAGAAGAAAGGAGAATATACATCAGATAATAGTATAAGACCTGTTATCTCAAAGGGAGGAAGTTATGAATCCAAGTGTCAGTACTCAAATTACTTTTTCTTCCAATTATCCTTTAAATTCCTAAGCATGATGGGATTACACAAGGTTAAAAAAAATTATGTGTTCACATATATATGCATATATATATATATATATATATATATATATATATATATATATATATATATATATATATATATATATATATATATATATATATATAATATACACCCACGTGTATATCTGTATGGACATATATGTGTGTATATACATACATATGTGTGTACATATATACACAAACATCACTATATGTATGTATATATAAGGATAATATGGGCATGTGTGTGTATATATACATATACACATATGTGGAAACTGCATAGTACTTTTTAAAACAAATCCCATATTTTGAAAGGACAAATTGGTTAGGAAAAAAATTGGAAGATCAGGTCTTCCCCCTACAGAGATCCTAGAATTTTAAGGTCCAGAGCCTAAATATTTCCAGCCTTTTCCAGCAGGCACAATACCAAGATGGTGTCTCCAAAGGCAAACATACTTTCCTGGTAGATAACTGCTTTCTTGGTCTCTGAATAACTGTGGCCACATTCTCCTGAAGAAAATTGTGGCCTATTTTGCCAATTACTTTATTTTTCCAGAGTAGTAAAATTCCCACCCTGAGGCACAGGAATGAATCAAAGTTCCTAAAGGAAAAGGCCTCTTGTTCATTACTGTCAGGACGGTGTTTCTCACCTTCTTGTCTACAATGATGATCTAGTCATGATGCAGCTTCTGTACCACTTTCTGGAATTTTCTAGAATCTGGCTGGGGCTTCTGTGTGTGTGTGCGTGTGCATGCACACCTATACAAAACCCTAGCAGAACTTAACCGTTGTTTTCCATTAGCTAGTCTGTTGCACTTCTTCATCTCTCTTATCTTTACTATATTATCTCATTATTACTTATTCTCCTAGTTCAAGCATTTATAAAGCCCCCGTTCCCAATCTGGCCCTGTACCTGGTGCTGTGCATCCCAACATCATTTCTATCTTCATTTATTTCAACCTGTACCATCCCATGAAGTACTTGTCATGTGCAAGCCTGAAGAAAGATTCTTGCCTTGGAAGAGCTTCTAGTCTTATTTTCTTTGCCATTTCTGGACAGTCCGTTCTTAAAACCCATCTTTTATAAAATGTCTAATCTTGGCATATTAATATTTAACCTTATTTGGAGCCAAACACAAAGCACACAATTCCTCTTGAGTCATTTTTCATAGGACTCTCATCTGGTGTCATTTCAACAAATAGGGATCACCCTGAGGACCGTGTGGCCCACACTTTTCTGAATACTGGAGTCTGTATTTTCAAATCAGTAACTCTTTTTCCTCTGACATAGCAGAAATGCACGGATATGCTAGAAAAGAAGAAGGGAACAGAAAAAAATATATGTGAAAATACTTGAAAAAGTTGAAATTCTGATAAAATTTTTAAAATTGGTAGACTCAAACTTTGGTTTCTGGCTTTCAAAGACTTGGATCCTTGGAAAAGGCTATTTTATTCCATGAGCCACAGTTGTCAAATGGTCTTTTTTCCTTTAAAAATTTTTTTTTCTAATGTCTATTTATTTTTGAGAGAGCGAGGGAGGAGCAGAGAGAGGGGGACACCGAATCTGAAGCAGGCTCCAGGCTGTGAGCTGTCAGCACAGAGCCCGACACAGGGCTCGAACTCATGAACTGAAAGATCATGACCTGAGCCGAAGTCGGACACCTACCCGACTGAGCCACCCAGGCGCCCCCAAATTGTCTTTTTTCTTTTAATCTGTGTCTTTTAATCTCACAAATACAGAATCCTTTAAAACGACCTTCATTCACCTTTCTGAACATTAGCATGCACACTTTTTTAGATGCGGAGGTTTTGGAGTCTCGAGCCTATTATCTGAATCGGATTCTGTGGCTATAAAACACGAGGCATTTTGACTGTGGTTTTAACCTTGAAGATGTCGGAGTCCATTTCTTTCTTTCTTTTTTTTTTTTTTTTTAAAC